GGTCATTATTTTATGAGGGTGACCATGTACTTCCTTTTGAAATGAAAAACCGAACACAGGTAAAGACATGTTAGGCTAACAAGTTTTCAATTTTGTCTGTGCGGTGTGGCGCAGTACCTCCCTTCCCAGATGTTGGTGCGCTTCATGACGGACATCGCCCGCGGCATGGAATACCTCAGCAACAAGAACTTCATCCACAGAGACCTGGCCGCGCGCAACTGCATGTATGCTGCTCCTCATCCACTTCCTGTCTGAGGTCACTGTGGGTCAGTGGGCTCATTAGGGTCAGGTGTCATCAAAAAAATCTTACAATTGAATGTGACGAGATATCACACAAGATTTGTCGATTTCACACTAATACTGACCATTGTTTGCTGTGTCACCAATGGCACCGAGCGGAATTTAGACGGTCTTGTTTGTCTTGAAAATATTTTCAACTGCTTAGCGCATGTTGACCGTAAGCAGGTGTGTCAGCTCCGGTCCTCGAGGGCCGCTGACCTTCCCTGTTTTCAAAGTTTCCCATCTGCAACACACTTGACTCAGCTGATCAGCAAGCTGTGAAAAAGCCTGAAAACAAACGATGTCATCACAACGCATATTCTCCCAACATTTTCCACTGACAACCCAGGCTAGACTTATCTCCCCCCAAATACAAAGATTTCAGTCTCTGAGTCGAAATGCATCACATACTTCCTTGACACCATTTACTACTTTCCTATTAGCTATTTTGTGGCATCTTCATGCGTTAAAGAGAAGAATGATCAGCAAAAGTTGAGAATCTATTCCACAGAAAAATGGCGAGGAGGCGGGGCTTCACTGTATCCATTCCTAAAGAATCATCCCAAATGGTGTGTTCCAGGCTGAACGAGAACATGAACGTGTGCGTGGCCGACTTCGGCCTCTCCAAGAAGATCTACAATGGCGACTACTACCGGCAGGGGCGCATCTCCAAGATGCCCGTCAAGTGGATCGCCATCGAGAGCTTGGCCGACCGAGTCTACACCACCAAGAGCGACGTGGTCGGTTCCGTTCACGCGTGACGTCTCCTTGTCACGCTCTTCGCTCAAACTTGACGCCGTCTTCTTCTTGTTGCCGCTCAGTGGTCATTTGGCGTCACCATGTGGGAAATCGCCACCAGGGGGCAGACGCCGTACCCCGGGGTGGAGAACAGCGAGATCTACGATTATTTGAGACAGGGAAACCGTCTCAAGCAGCCTCCAGACTGCCTGGATAACATGTGAGTGCTAGTTTCTAAACGCACAATTTAAAAATACATTTTGGAGCTAGCTGGCTATTTACTGCCTTTAGAGTAGAGCTGCACAATCATCGAATTTAATGGCGCTCGCTATTTTGCCCGATACAATTAAATGTATCTGCTCTTTGCTGCATACCGCATCGAATCAATCTTTTTCTCAACCTGTTGTCAGCCAACCACCAGGGGGCGAAAACCTGGTGAAGGCTTCATTCGAGATAACGGCATAACAGCTAAATGCTACTTCATCGTATTTGCTTTGAACGAGAGACGGCAGATTATTCTCTTGCCATTATTTCTTATGGATAAAATCAATTCATAATATGATCATCTTGAAATGTTGAACTAATATCGAGCATTCCTCCTCTTCCTCAGCTACGCTCTGATGTTCTCCTGCTGGTTGCTGAGTCCCAAAGATCGTCCACCCTTCGAGTCGCTTCGCTGCGAACTGGAAAAAGCCCTCGACGACCTGCCCGACACCCAGGACCCGGACGAGATCCTTTACGTCAACATGGAGGATTCCTCCATGGAACTGGGGGCCGTCGGCGGCTGCGACCCCCTCGGGGGCTCCTCTCTGGGCCTCAAGAGCCTGGAGGTGACCACGGCGGAAGTGCACCAACCCAACCGCTACGTGCTGTGTCCCCAGCACGACAGCGGCCGAGTCCTGGCCGACTCCCTGGAGAGTCTGGACGCTGCCTTGCCTTTCTCGGCCGCCACTCTGCCCCTGCGCTATTCTCGACACGCCGCAACAGACGTGACTGGTGCGTCGAC